CACATGGGGAAAGCCTGTTTGAAAATGAAGTCAAAATACAGGAAAACAGAGCAGAGGAGAGTCAGATTCCTGGCATGGAAGATCATCTCACAACCTGAATTCCAACAGGGCCTGAAGTCAGCTGTACTCAAGATTTTTCAGTTATGAGCCTTTAAGAGTTCCCTTTTTTGCTTAAGCCAGTTTAAACTAAGTTTCACTGGCATATTGACTAAATATGCCACATAGAAGCACTTATATTAACCAACCAACACAAATACATTAATTTGACACATTAATCTGTGACTTTAAGATGACAGTCAATTAGGTTCTCCTTCCGTATATGTATACAGTTGATCCTTGAACAACACAGGTCTGAATTGCATGGGACCACTTATATGTGAATTTTTTTCAATAAAATTTATATTGAGTGTGTCTGCCTCTCCTTCCACCTCCTCCACCACTTTCGCCTCGCAACCCCTCCTTTCTCTTCCTCCTCAGCCTACTCAATATGAAGACAATGAGGATAAAGACCTTTATGATGATCCACTTACAAACAAACAGTCAATTTATTTTCTCTTCCTTATGATTTTTCTTAACATTTTATTTTCTCTGGCTTACTTTAAGAATACAGTATATAATACATATAAACATACAAAATGTGTTAATCAACTTATACATGGATTTTCAACTGTAGGCAGGGGGTTAGGAGGATGGAGTTGGCACCTCAGCCCCTGCATTGCTTAAGGGTCCATTGTATTTGTATGTTTTTAAAAGTCTCATATTCTATTTATACAAATATATGTAAATAAATGAATATAAATATGTGAATATATGTCCAGAAAGATATTCTCAAGTTAATCCAGACGAGACTGGGATTGGGGAGGTAGTTGCAGATAATTAACTTGCTGCAAAATTTTTATTTTATATGTTCTCACAGATTACATGCATATATACAAATGAAATTTTAATAAATCTGCTGTGAAGATGTAAGTGCCAGGCAGTGTATACTAGCTAAGAACATATATTTTGGAGTTAAGGAAACCTAATTTTAAGATCTGGCTTATGACATTAAGCATGTTATTTAACTTCAGTTAATCTTCCATTTCCCATCTGTAAAAAGGAATAGTAATGGTACATTATAGTGTTATTGTGAGAATTTAATGAGCTAGTATATAAGAAGTGTTCAGTACATAGCAAAGTTCTAATTATTGTTAGAAATTGTGAACAAAAATGATAATTTATGTCTAACTTTGAGTAATTACTTAAATGAAAACTACTTGAAAGAAGCTTAGTTTTTCTCAGTCCAAACTCAAAAACTTGTATTGAATTTTTAGAAGTATTCTTCATGAGTTTAAACACCATCAATCTAATATTCCTATATTAAGTAATTTAAAATAAATACAGTGAGATAGAATTTGCCCCAGTTAGACCCCCAAATGAAGACCTCCAATTGGCCTAAGCAGCATCACTGAGGATTACTGGGAGTCTTTTCTAAAAGCCAGAGGTTCTGTGTGCACACATTTTTATTTCATGTAAAGTGTTATATACTTCATTCTGTATATACTTCATTCTGTATTATATACTTCATTCTGTATTGTTTGTAAGCTTAAAAGAAATTCACCCCAAATTTTTCTATAGATTTTTGTAAAGATCCTTTATATTAAGGCATAAAAAAGACTGAACCTTATCAAATGCCTTTTCTACATCAATTGAGATAAACATTATTTTTCTCATTTAAGATGTTATAAAATAATAGATTTTCTGTTTTAAAATATTAATAGATTTTCTGTAGGTGAACCATCCTTGCATTACTGGGATAAACCCCACTTGATCATAATGTATAATTTTTTAAAAGTCACAAGCTTCATCTGCTATTTTGGAATCATAACTTTAATGGTTAATATTTATTAAATGTTTAGTATGTGCCAGGCACTATTCTATGCTCTCCTTACATGCATTAGCTCTTTTCTCATTATAACAATTTAATGAGGTAAAATCATTTTTAATCACCATTTTACAGATGAATGAACTGATATACACAGAGGTTAAATAATCTGCCTAAGTCACAAAGGGAGGTACTAGTAAAGCCAGGATTCATACTCAATCTGTCTGAAAACTGTACTGTACCACTCCCAGTTCACCATTCAAAACATGTGCAACATGGTGAAACTGAGATTGACATTACACTCTTTTTTATTTTTTATTTTTATTTTTTGAGACGGAGTCTCGCTCTGTTGTCCAGGCTGGAGTGCAGTAGCGTGATCTCGGCTCACTGCAAGCTCCACCTCCTGGGTTCATGCCATTCTCCTACCTCAGCCTCCTGAGTAGCTGGGATTACAGGCACCTGCCACCACGCCTGGCTAATTTTTTTTTAGTATTTTTTTTAGTAGAGATGGGGTTTCCCCACGTTAGCCAGGATGGTCTCGATCACCTGACCTCGTGATCCACCTGCCTCCGCCTCCCAAAGTGCTGGGATTACAAGTGTGAGCCACCGCGCCTGGCTGACACTACGCTCTTAATCACTACAGTCCAGAGGTTATAAACTGAGTACATAATCTGCACAGAGCACTAAGCTAAACCCTATACATTTTGCAGAAAAGTCATGAGGTACAGAAACATAAGCTATATTGCATATTCCAAAGACCAAATTAATCTTTTAAAGTAAAAAAAAAAATCCAGGTGTCTATATACCAAATATATTTGTGTGTAGGTGTCTTCCAACCTCAGCTGTAAATAGCTATAACATGAATGGCGATACCTTCAAGCAGCTGTTAATAGGCCAACAAGAGGCGCATAGGGTATGTATCACTTGGTTGGTGAGTGGGCAGGGAGTGGGAAGTGAAAAGGTAGAATCTGATTGGTGGCTTAAGTAAAGAACTTCAAGAACCTGTTGACATCTTAAGAGCAGTGATGATAAAGATCAACTAGCAAACATAGATCAAAAACTCAATTTCCATGCTGAAGGAAAAGTAGAAGCAGGCAATATGCTCTAGGTTCTTTTACATTCAATTATATATGGTTGGTATAACTTTATACACATCTAGCTGGATTAGTGCTAAAAGACCATGAACATCTGCCTAAGGAGACCACTTCTAGCAGTGGATAAAAGCCATTTAAAGAATTTAAAGTCTCTGTAAAGTGCATCTAGCCTTTAAGCAGAAATGGCCTCCTAACCAGTTTTCACTCCATCAGTCTTCTCTTCAAAATCAAAATATTCCGACACCAAGACTGGAAAGGGCTGACCCTAACTTCTACCACAGTACTCCCTTAAGGTCATCACTAAAGTCAGTGATAAGCAAAGGGATTATGTTAAGAGGCCAATTAATAGCAAAATATCTAAGAAGTGATTTGTTTAGACATCTCAACCTATTTAACTAGTTAAATAATAGTGGAACTTTGGGTTTTCCTTTCCTCTTCTTTTGCTTTACAAAATAATATATTTACTCTTTTTTTATTTCATGGAAAGCCTTAGGTTTTTACAACTAACAGATTTTTTAAATTTTCACAGAAAAAGTACTCAATTGCCAGGAATGCTCAGAACAGTGCACAGTGACTTTTGGTGCAGTAAATTACATTTTCCAGCCGTTCTATCTAGACAGCAGACAGGAAACTCCTCAGGAAATCTTGTTCTTCAGGCTGCTGTTTAGCAACTCTTTGACACAGATGATTAATTAACTAGTAACCATTAACAACAGTTAAAACTCCTCTAGAGACAGAAGGGTAGCACAAGGGCGTCTGATCTTCTTCACTTTTCATTATTGTTTACCTTGAACCAGGCAAGATTTACTAATTAATGAAGTCAGTGAAAAAGGACAATTATTTTGCTACTTCTAAGGACACATTTACCAAGAGGCATTAGTAAATTAGTTTAATGTTCCTGATGCTGGCCAATAAATGGAACATAATAGATCTTGTTAGTTCCTTCTATAATATAGAACCTTTCTCTAGGTTAAGACTTACTGTGCTCTTCTAAGGGTGTTGGGCCTCATTATTTTCTAGTTCTAAACCAAATACTAAAGAAAGATGTAACCATCAGGGGGCTATTTAACATACAAGCATGCATCTCTATTTACTAGCCTGGGCTGGTTTTAGAAGAGAACACACTTTACCTCATTGCCCTTTATGCCTGTGACAACAAAAGCTCTGGAGTCACACTAGAATTACAAAGACAGAACCACAAAGGGAAGGTGAGGTCTTTCCTTTGTAAATGTCCGGCTGACAGTTTGAGAGGAGGAGTGTCAAATTCACTCTCATTTGGTACCATCAATCAGATAATCTAAATGTCCCATTCAAAAGAAAGCAAAACTCAGGAAAATTTGTTGCTGGGTCATCCTATTCAAGTCTTATCTGTTCTGTTTTCATTGTTGCTCCTAGGAAAAGTATTCCCCTTACTCACTCTTCACATCATTAAGCTGTTCTGTCCAAAGGAGATTAGAAAGTGCTTGTAAAAACTGCTGCTAAATCAACAGGTGGAGATAAAAAACCATCTTGTCTTTCTCAGCAGTGACTTGGCTAGTTGTAAGTAATACTGAATGCAAATCTGGCAATCTATCTTCATACTTCTTTTCTAACAACATTCACACCTGATTCTGTGTCAGTAGCAAGAATGCAATAGCAACAGCTTCACATTCCTGGCTGGAATAAGAAATACCAGGTATTTTGGCTCAGTATTTGGAAAGGACATCTTGATATACATGTAGTAGGTTATGGCATTGAGGTCAAAGCTCCAACTCCGGTAATTTTTCTCATAGACACCAATAAATCAGGAGACACAAAACCAAAGGTAATTTATTAGCAAAGGAGCTACAAAAATACGCACTTTCTCTCACGACATTAGGAATGAGATTTTATTTAGTTTGACAAATATTGAACATTTTCTTACTTAGGACCATGATGTTAAAAAAAAAAAAAAAAAAACCCTACAAATAATACATTTGCTTAAAAATCCTTAATAGATTATTCTATTGGAAGGGAAATCTTGCCCCAACAGTTACCAGAAAAATATTCCCCCGTCCTCTCACCTGTTTATGAGGACCCCTGAGTATATGTGCCTTAGCGCCTTCACAAGCTGTCCTCATTGCTTCCAGTGATGGTGTGCCCAACAGATCCGTGATCAAATCCAACTATAAGGAAATAAAATACAGATATATAGCAATCTCATGGAAATAACTTTTCATTACTCTTAAATCATAGCCTTAGAGATGTGGACCAAATTTGGGGGAAAAAACCTTAAGACAAGCTCCAGATTAACTGACAGGAACCCCTACTTTCACTTTCTGGCCTATTAAAAAAGACTTCTAGGAATTTATAATAAATTCCTCACATAGAGGAATTTAAATATATTCCTGTTAATTTGTTATTCTTAATATTTAAAATAAATAATCTTGTTATAATTCCTGTTATTTTATTATTCATATTTATTATTTAAAGGTTCCTCTTTATCCTATTCCTATTTATCCTATTATTTATAATATATATAGGATTATCCTATATATCCCATTCCTATTTATCCTATTATTTTAAAGTTCCTATTTATTTATATAAAAGTTCCTATTTATATGATAGAAATATAGAAATATGTTTTGATAAGCATGACATTCTCAGACTAGAGCAATTTGGGAGTCTGCATCTGTCTGCCCTGTTTTCTTGATACTATAGCATCTAAGATCTTTGCAGAGTTGAACTCCTCTTCTATTGATGGCTAATGACTATTCTTTCCAGTTAATGAATGGATTCTGATGCTTCAAGTGGATGCAGGCTCACCAAGGAGCTAATCCACAAATCGGACACCTGTGATTTAATAAATCCTGAAAACATTCACACCTGAAATGAAAGCTAAGCTCTCCATGCTTGGGCCAGTGTACATCCTTTACATTCTAGTCATGCTAGAAATCTCTTACACTGCCAGAAAACTGTGATACTTAGAAAATATGACACTGCATAAGACCGCATTTAGTCAGCTGGACACAATAAAAGAGACCAATAAAACAGTCTTCTTGCAAACAAGTCTTTGGGTAGCAAACTATCTTACCAATTTTCTGTAGTGTCACAATTGTTCTAACTTCATAACTAATTATCAGTAACATTTCATTTGGATTCCTCCAGGATGGGAAATTCTTACCTAGAGAACACTTCTTTTCCTGGTTCTGGGCATGCCGAATATAAAGCACTATTTATCTAAACCATGGGGTAGCCATCAGCATCACCACCCTACAGGTTAATGGAGAAACTTGAGAAGCTTGCTTTCCACAGAAGTAAAGATCTCTATACAAAGCTTTTTGGGAAAAGTACGTAGGTGATACTTTTGGATCTCTAATAACCACACTAAAGGCAGAAGGAAATGACTAGCTTCTAAAAACAAATTGAAACATTCAGAAAGTTGTCTAAAATGGGTCAGATCCATAGATGAGAAACACTTTTATGATGTCTGTTAGTATTGGGTAATTAAATCTCAAAGATACAGAGAAAATACAACAGGAAATAATGACTTCCATTAGAAGTTAGAGCCTTTTCCTATTTTAGATCTTCATTTCTCACCCCAGCACACACCAACAATTAGACAGACATGAATTCTCCTGTAGTGGCTATGTCAGACTGCCAAACTGAAGATCTATGTATTTCTCTAGCAAATGAGATATCTGAACTCCAGTCCAGTTGCTTCACACTTTCCCTCACATATTTTTTGCAGCAGCAATTCAAGATTCTTGTTCCATATATAGGATTTGAATACCTCATTATTATTTTTTACTTAAGTTTTTCTGTATGCAAGGTAGTAGTCACATTCATTTTATGACAGCTTATGTCCAGATATGAGAGTCTTATAGGTTAAGTCTGTTAAACTTTACTTTCTAAAGAAATTGAAAAGTGAATATTGTCAATAGTACCCAACATTAGATGACATATTATATGTACATAATTTTTTAACACCAGAATCAATTTTTAAGATGTAAAATTTAAAAAAGACAGTTTGAATGTATAGCATAGAAAAATTTAAATGTTGATAAAAGCAGATATAGTTTCTAACCTATTAGGTAAAAATTCTTTGTAGAAAAAGCATAAAAGAAATAATTCTGTTTGGTCAAGTGCATGAATTATTTACAAAGACACAGTAGTCAGTGTGATCTTTTAAAATGTCATTAATCAAATCTTAATATTCCTATGGTCAAAACCTTCATTTACGTTTTCTATCACACTTGGAATAAAATCTTAAGGCCTTATCATGTCATCATGGCCAGGTTCTTTCTCACTTTCTGACCTCATCTCCTACAGCGTCTTCCATCACATGCCATCCCTCCAACATGCCATGCTTGTTTCTGCCTCAGGGGCTTTGTTATGGTGGTTGTCCCTCTTCTTGTAACTTCTTCAGCATCTTGCTGCCTCATTTTATGTGGGTGAAATGTTATCTCCTCAGAGAATCCTTTAGTGCCTGCTCTGCTCTGCCACCATTCTCTATCCCTAACCTGGCTACATTTTTCTTTATGGAACTTCCATTACTTGGGATCATATTTATTTGCATACTTATTTTTGTCTCATGTGAAAGTTTCACAAAGGTTAAGAACAACGCTGTCTTATTTACTGCTGTATCCCCAGCGTCCTGGCACACTACTACCACTATCATAATTGCAAACATTTACAGAGTGCTTACTATGTGCCAGGCCCCATTTTCAGCTTTCCTGCTTCATTGTACAATAATCCTCAGAACAGTTTTAGGGGCCAAAAAACCAAAAAAAAAATAGAAGAAGAAAAAAAAAGGAAGAGAGAGGTTAAGTAACTTACTCAAGATTTAACATAAGTGGTGTAGCTAGGATTTGAACCCACCAATCTGAGCTCATGGTTACTACATTATTTTCATGCAAGCGAATTAATAAAAATACCTAGTAATTATCCCAAGAAAATATGCGTAGTAGTGAATAATTACCTTTAAAGACAATTAAAGTAACATGTAGCTAACAAAGTAGCTTCTAAAGGATTCTCTGAGAGTATATTTTAATCATCTCCTGATGTTCTCTGCCATATTTAGATATTTTAGTCCAATAATAAAAGTTAGAAATTTTCCTAAATGTTCAGATTTCAAGAAATCAACACAATAAAAATTTACATTCTAAGCACAAAGTGTAAGTACATTAAGTCACCAATACATTTTCAAGTCAGAGCCATTCACTTAGAAGGAAAAGAGGCCTTCTAACAACTGAAGATTATGCCTGTGCAAATTGTCACAGCAGAGCTCGCGGCTATGCATCAGTGCATATAATAATGTCAACAGGCCGGGTGCGGTGGCTCATGCTTGTAATCCCAGCACTTTGGGAGGCTGAGGCAGGTGGATCACCTGAGGTCAGGAGTTCGAGACCAGCCTGGCCAACACGGCAAAATCCTGTCTCTACTAAAAATACAAAAACTAGCCAGGTGTGGTGGAGCGCGCCTGTAATCTCAGCTACTTGGGAGGCTGAGGCAGGAGAATCGCTTGACCCTGGCAGGTGGAGGTTGCAGTGAGCCAAGATGGCACCATTGCACTCCAGCCTGGGCCACAAGAGCAAAACTCTGTCTCAAAAAATAAATAAATAAATAAAATAATAATTATAATAAATAAATAAAGTCAATACACACTCTAAAGGCTCATAAGTTACAAAATGAATCTCTCTGTAATCTTCAACTTTTATAACTTTCTAAATTTTAAGTGAACCTGAATTTCCTAAAAGCAAATTAGACAGTATAATGAATAAGCCCAAGACACATGTGCAGGATGGATTTTTCCTTCAAATCTGTAATAGAATTGAAACTAAAGCCTTAAATTGAAATCATACCTGCTGAATGGGACTCTGTGCCTGAAACAATATTCTTCGTCCTAGTAGTTCTGCAAAGATACATCCCACAGACCAGATGTCAATAGCATTGCTGTAATGACGGCTGCCCATCAGGATTTCCGGAGCCCGGTAATACTGAGTAACAACTTCCTGAGTCATATGACGGGATTCATCTAATTCTTCCACTCTGGCCAATCCAAAATCACAAATCTAAACAGAAAAGGCAGTCAAAACATTGTCAAGCAAATACAAATGAAAGAGTAAAACAAAACATCAAAACCTTGATAGGGCACTGAACTTTGAAACTTTTTTTTTGAGACGGAGTCTTACTCTGTCACCCAGGCTGGAGGGCAGTGGCGCAATCTCAGCTCACTGCAACCTCCGCTTCCCGGGTTCAAGGGATTCTCCTGCCTCAGCCTCCCAAATAGCTGGGACTACAGGTGCCCGCCACCACACCTGGCTATTTTTTTTTTTTTTTTTGTATATTTAGTAGAGAAGGGGTTTAACCATATTGGCCAGGCTGGTCTCAAACTCTTGATCTCAGGTGATCCACCTGCCTTGGCCTCCCAAAGTGCTGGGATTACAGGCGTGAGCCACTGCACCCAGCCACTCTGAAACACTTTTAATGATACAGGTATAGTATATTTATGTCAATATACAATCTGGTTTTATTTGGTTAGAGAGGAAAAAAGTCTCAAACTTACATCATTTTCTTAAAAATATTCTTCTCATCTTTATTAATAAAAACATGTCTGTTTTCAGTTGATAATCAAAGCAAAAAAACTAGGTGAACATAAACGACTTTATTTATTTTTAGACAGGGTCTCACTCTGTCTCACTGGCTGGAGTGCAGTGGTGTGATCGATCTGAGGCTCCTCCCACCTCAGCCTCCTGAGTAGCTGGGACTACAGGCACATGCTACCACGCCCGGCTAATTTTTGTGTTTTTTTTTTTTTTTTGTAGGGATGAGGTTTTGCCATGTTGTCCAGGCTGGTCCTGAACTCCTGAGTTCAAGCAATCTGCTTGCCTCAGCCTCCCAAAGTGCTGGGATTACATGCGTGAGCTACTGCACCTGGCCAATTGCATACTTCTAGGTTTGATTTAGAGACCAACTGTTGGCCAGGCACAGTGGCTCATGCCTGTAACCCCAGGGATTGGGAGGCTGAGGTGAGAAGACTGCTTGAGAGATCAAGAGTTTAAGACCAGGCTGGACAACATAGTAAGATCTCAACTCTACAAAACAATTAAAAAAAAAAAAATAGCTGGGCGTGGTGGTGTGCACTTGTAGTCCCAGCTATTCTGGAGGCTGAGGTGGGAGGACTGCATGAGCCCAGGAGTTTGAGACTACAGTGAGCTATTACTGTGCCACCACACTCCAGCCTGGGAGACAGAGTGAGATTGAGACCCTATCTTTAAAAAAAATTTAAAAACCATGACAAAACCAACTACTTTCAAGACTAGTTTATAGACAAAGATATCATAAGACAAAGGGGTGTATCTTGAAGGCTCCTTAGCGGAGACTATGCCTGTTGTCTTTATGAAATATATATAAATTTCTTTAAAGCAATGGGTTTCAAACTGACTCCAGTGGAATCTAGTTCTGACTTTAGGCATTCCATAAATATTATATCCAAACTTCACATGTACTTATCTATTTAAAATACAAATTCACACTCAAATGTATAAATACGTTAAAACGTAGTACACTGTAGAATACTAATGCTACTGGGTTCATTCATTTCTTCATGCCATACATATTTAAGTTAGTACTTGTTATATTACAGATGGTATGTTAGAATCTGGAGATACAGTAATAAGTAATAAAAACTGGTTAACTTCTATACAAACTTAGAAATAAATCTTTTCTTGCTATTTCTGCTCAACTGAAAAGTATGCTGAGGGTTACAAGGTAAGCTATTAATAAACAGCAGCAGTGCCACCACCAGCAACTACTGCTTATCTTTAGGAATTAAAATTTTCTTGATATGGGGCAATCAAAACACAACAACTAGGAGCACTGAGGATGAGATCAGATAGTAATGGCCATCTAAACTCCAGTGTTCTCACTGATTAACTTTACAAGTCACAATATTGCAAGTGATAAAATACGATTTTAAATCTGTTTTCTAAATTGAAGTCCCCATATAAGATTTTATTTGAAAAAGAGTTCTGGCAGCTTAAAAAGAAAATCTGAAAACTCCGTTCTAAAGAAAACAAAATTTACTCCCCAATTTTTGGCAATCCCCTCTTTCTGATTTGAATCTACTATGTCTGGTTACATCAAATGAATTCAGATGTGTATATAGGAATGAGTCAGTATGAAGCCACCATCTTAACAACTTAAGAATGCAGGAAAATTTTCCATACTATACAGATAAACCATATAACATAACAACAAAAGCCCAAGTTCATCAAATATGTTCAAACAACATATACATATTTTTTTGAGACAGTCTCACTCTGTCATCCAGACTGAAGTGCACTGACACGATCTCGGCTCACTGCAACCTCTGCCTCTCAGGTTCAAGCGATTCTTGTGCCTCAGCCTCCTGAGCAGCTGGGACTAGAGGCACGTGCCACCACGCCTGGCTAATTTTTATATTTTTAGTAGAGACAGGTTTTTGCCATGTTGGCCAGGCTTGTCTCAAATTCCTGGCCTCATGTAATCCGCCCACCTCGGCCTTCCAGTGTTGGGATTACAGGCGTGAGCCACTGCACCCGGCCAAAATAACATATAATATTTTTAAAACTCTATTACTTGGCCATGACTCTTGAGGGTATTTTAAAAAACTAAACCGACAAAAGGAAAGAACACAATTTTTTCTCGTATATGAAAAAAACCAACCAACCACCCATCCAACAAAAAATGATTTCTGTTATAAAGCAAATCCCTTATTAAAAACATCAGTATGATTTGTCATTTTTAGTAACTTATCTGGAAGACAACCTGAGTCCAAAATAGGAAGCTAACATGATCAGATAACTAAAAAAATTCCAGCAAAATTATCCATCTTGTGCTTAATAGGAAACAAAACACATTCACAATATGGAAGGATACCGATTTTTAAAAATGATTTTGTTATAATGATCTTCAATGTATTTGTATGTTTGAGAAGAAAGAACTAGCGTCTGTAGTCTAGCACTCTATTCTGGCTTTTTAAAAGTAGGCCTGTAAGATGAGTCAAAGGAGTGGAGCAAAATTGGTTTGTTCTGATTTGTGTGTTGTGTATTCATGAATGGCATTTTCCTTTAGTTGCCCATTCATACAGTCCAACGTTATAAAACCATAACAGACAATTTGGAAAATGAACTTCAAGCAGTTAATGGCATCAAACATGACAGGTCCTGCACAAAATCCTGTGTGAAGTCTTCCAATCAAAAACCAAAAGAAGAAGAAATTGGCTTAAACGGTCATAAGATTGATTAGGTATGAATAGGACAAAAAAATTTCTAACTTTAAGGTTTAAAAAATTTTTTTTAAATAAAAACAATTATGGGGATAAGTTGCAAGTTCTCTTTAAAAAGTGAAAAGGTGGCAGGAAAAACTCAATAACCTATAGAAGAAATACTTCAGATTTTGGGGGCAATTAACTTCTCTGTGGAAACAAAAGACTGAATTACAACATCAGCTGTTTTTAGGGAAAATATGAAAAACAGGTTTTCGTCTTTCTAGAGCTAAAATAAGGGTGAAGGCTCTTCAAGGCTATAACGAAGGGAGAACTTTCATTCATAAGCAGTATCATCCACCAGCTTTTCAAGAGAACTGACCTACAGTTCAGAGATATCATTTAAAATAAAAAATGAATTTTATTTATACATTTGGTTTTATTACTTAGTTTAACCACCAGCAACCTAAGTAATAATGATAGTCTTGATTATTTTTAAAGTGGGTAACATTTTAAAAACTTATTTTTCTTCTCAAATATAGCAGTTAAAGGCCCTTATTTCCAATTTCTATTATGAGGAAAAATATAGTGGACCTCTCTCTATTCAAGAGTTCTGCCAATACACATCTGTATTAGAGGTAGGGAAATACAAATATGTGGACTTTGCTATTTGCAAGCCCCTTTTTAAATGAAAGACAATGGCTGTACTAGGGAAGAGAAGTAAAACTGAAACTGATGACTTGAAATTTTGGAACTACTAAATATAATTCTGTAACCAATTCCTCTTCAGAGGAATAATTAAGAATTGGCTACTATACATTATGGAAATACATTGAATAGGTGCCTATTACCCTTTTCTGGTTTGGCATTTTCACTTCTTTTTTTTTTTTTGGAGACAGGGTCTCACTCTGTCACCTAGGCTGGAGTGCAGTGGTGTGATCACAATTCACTGCAGCCTTGATGCTCTGGGCTCAGGCGATCCTCCTATCTCAACCTTCTGAGTAGCTGGGACTACAGGCATGCACGACTACACCTGGCTAATTTTTGTATTTTTTATTGAGATGGGGTTTTGTTTGCCTAGGCTGGTCTTGAACTGCCGGGCTCAAGCAATCTGCCCGCCTCAGCCTCCCAAAATGCTGGAATTATAAGGCATGAGCCACCGTGTCTGGCCAGCACTATCACTTTTAAATATGTTTCTACTTCTGACTTTGCTACCTTGGTCAAACAGCATATAGAAATGTTAGCTGTGTAAAAATGTAGATGGTCTTCCTAAAAGTCACACTTCATTCTCTTATATAAACAGATGCTTGCTGTTCTAATATTTCTTCTGATATGTGCTTCTTTTAATAATGGAACAATCTGTAAAGGAGTCACCTTCTCTATTCTTTCTAGCTACACTGTAATTCCAATTTCAGAGTTTCTAAAACATAGGCAAACTATCATGAAAAGAACATGAGGCAGGACTACAAATTATTACTATGGCTATGAGTAGTGATATGGAGAAAACTGGGTTAACTTTTGGTAAAGTAATGGAAATGAACTTATTTCTTTCACAAAAATATGTTGTTCTTTAACCTGCCTTGACATTTTGATTTTTCCCAGGTATTTAAATAAACTGAAAAGCTACCTTTAGAACACAGTTGCTGTTCACAAGGAGATTCCCTGGCTTAATGTCTCGATGTAAAATGCCAGCTGAATGGAGATATTTCAAACCTGAAATAACAAACAGATTTAATTGCAGATATTTAATTCCTTTTACTCAACCAATAATTTTTTAAAAACCTTGGAAGAAAACAGTAGAGGATTTAAAATTGTTCCCTAAATAACTGCATAACGAACATTATTAAAAGCTAGTCTCACCTCAAAATACCATAATTTTGCTAGAGTAAAAATGTCACCAAAGGTTTGCAAAGTGTAGAGATAATGTCTATAATTTCAACAATTATGTAGGTTTAAATACAGATAAGCTTCTTAGGCACTTGAGTTAAGACCATATTAATAACCTTAGATTGCTAGTCAGTGTGGCTATTGGACTGCTGTTATTGATACTCTTAACCTGCAACTCGGAGCCTTCTCCAACAAAACAGTTTCCGTTAACCCACATGGAGCCTTTCCCAGGACAAGTGTTTCACTGGTAAGACAAAATTCAGGAACTTGCCCACACTGTCAGTAGTATTCTTTACCACTCAGAATCAGGAGGGTAATGAACCACTTTAAAAATATTTCTGACATCTTCGAAGACCAGTGCCTTCATTCAGTACTGCTAAAGGTCCCAGCCTCAACGTTGAGTCCTTTTTGTGTGCGTTTTTCCTTTTCTTTTCTTTTTTTTTTTTTTATTTGAGACAGGGTCTTACTCTGTAACCTAGGCAGGAGTATGGTGGTATGATCACAGCTCACTGAAACCTCAACTTTCCTGGCTCAAGCCATGCTCCCACCTCAGGCTCCTGAGAAGCGGGAACTATGGGCATGTACCACCATATCCGGCTAATGGGTTGAGTCTTTTTTGGATAAAATGTAGCAAATCACATTTTTCACAAGTACAAAAAGAGCCAATATCTTCCCCATTTTCCCCTACCACAGAATATGAACAAATCTATTGGAGGTGAACATTTTTAGTTTTTTTGAGACGGAGTCTCACTGTGTCGCTCAGGCTGGAGTACAGTGACACGATCTCGGCTCCCTGCAGCCTCCATCTCCCAGGTTCACTTGATTCTCCTGCCTCAGCCTCCCAAGTAGCTGAAACTACAGGCGAGCGCCACCATGCCCGGCTAAGTTTCGTATTTGTTTAAAGTAGAGTGTAGTTTTGCCATGTTGGCCAGGCTGGTCTTGAATTTCTGACCTCAGATGATCTGCCTGCCTCAGCATCCCAAAGTGCTGTGATTACAGGCATGAATCACCATGCCTGGCCTGGAGGTGAGCTTTTTAGTTTTAATATTGCTTATGTGGCCAGGTGCAGTGGCTCACGTCTGTAATCCCAGCCCTTTGGGAGGCTAAGGCAAGCGGATCACGAGCTCAGGAGATCAAGACCATCCTGGCTAATATGGTGAAACCCCATCTCTACTGAAAATACAAAAAAACTAGCTGGGCATGGTGGCAGGCGTCTGTAGTCCCAGCTACTTGGGAGGCTGAGGCAGAAGAATGGCGTGAACCTGGGAGGCAAAGCTTACAGTGAGCCGAGATTATGCCACTGCACTCCAGCCTGGGTGACACAGTGAGACTCTGTCTGGGGAAAAAAAAAAAAAAAAGCTTATGTATTTTCATCCTTTTGGCATTTATTTTTCAATCGCTATAAAGAATCTCTTAATTCTATGAATTCTGGGGCAGGTGTGGGGGGAAGTATTTTACTTACTAGGTAAGAAAGCTGTTTTAGGCAAAATTCTCATGGACATACTTGATGGCCAGAAGTGTCAATAATGTTGGCCCAAATCCTTTCTCAGTCAAGTACGTGCTCTTTAATGAGCCAGTCTAGAGTTATTTAGCTGGCTCTGTTTATTGGTCTTCCCAATCTACTTTGGTTTTAAGGGTCATTTTGTTTCTCTGGAGTTGGCTTCAGGTATGCCAGCCAATACTCAGACAGGCCCACCTACTGTTGGCTTGCAGGACGGACGTCATCCATAGGGGATATAGTCACTTTTCACCTGAGTCGTCTGATGACACATATTCCTATTCCGTTGAAAACTAAAGGCTGTTTTGTGAACTTGTGACAAACCATCCTGCTTATTCACCTAGATTAGCCCACTCAACTGCCTAATGAATTTGACAGGGCTTTCTCTTTCATTACTGAAAACAAGAAATACTTGGCAACCCTAAAAAGCTTCTTCATTAACATTAAATATAGAAATTATAAAATATGCTTTGTCAAAAGAAGAAAGTCTTTAGAGAAGAAGAAAACCTTGGAAGGTCAGATTAAAGTCTAAATGAGAAGCAAAACATTTCATTTACAGTGTGACAGCACCTTTTTCTTCATAAAGAAATCTTACCTCGCAAAATCTGATAAAGAAAAACTTTGACATGATCTGAGCTGAGTGGTTGAGGAGAGACGATAATTTTATGTAGGTCACTCTGCATCAATTCTGTGACAACATATCTTGAAGTTTTAAGTTAAGGAGAGTTCAACGAATTCAGTCTCCTACTCCCTCAAAGTGGTGACCAGATCCAAAAAATAACTTCCATTCTCAAGGCTGGAAAAATGGGCAAAGAAAGCTTCTAGACAGCATGACATAGGTGAGAATTCCAGCCCTCACAAGATAAAACACTACTAAAATAAAAAGAACTTACATGTTTAAAAGTCAGCAGGAGTAAACGACCAAATGATTTCCTTATAATCAGCATTATAAAAGACAAAACCAAAGGTAAACATTTTAAATAACAGCCAGGCCAGGAAAAGTATGACGACCAAACAGTCTTGAGTTCTACTTAGACATGTTACAGGAATGTCCTCTGAATCCAAACAAATGGGGATTGGTGATCTCATCTTAGACCACCATGACACCAATGGAAAAGATCACGACCTATCCAAGGGCCGTGGCTTGTTTCATTATAAAATATGGTATTCCTAAACACATGTAAAGTAATTAGTTAAGTCTCTCCACAATCTTAGTAATTTAGTTCTTTTATTATTTAACTTTGTATGTATTTATGAAACACCCCTCCCCACTACCACCAGTAGATTTCAAGCTTCCTATACGTTGTACTCTGTTGTATGTCTAGGGTTTTGCTCAATGGACACGTGGCAGATGATTAAAGGCTGGAGCCTGGAGAGCCATGGAGATATGGAATCCAAGACTCTTGTGAAGCACATGAGTGTTAGATACATTAGAGAAGCAAAAGTATGGTAAATCTTATAATTATAAAGTATTAAGTTTTCTTAAGGCAATTTCTAATTTAATGTTTTAGCAAAAACAAGTAGGAAAGGGGATAACTTGGGAACAGGGAGGAGAAATGATAACAGCCTTTGACAAAAGCAATTGAAAACTCCCTCCTCCTCGAGACATTTTTTCCAAATTGCTTTAGTCTCCTTTTTTCTTCAACCACTGTACGTTGAAATGCCCCATGGCTGCTGGTCCTCAGGCCTCTTCCCTATCCATACTCATGGATACTTGGATCCAGTCCCATGTCTTCAAATAATATCCATGCTGATGACTCCTAAATTTCTCTCTCTAGTTAATCTTCTTTCCTTAAGTGCAGACTTGTATATCAAACTGCCTATTATTTCCCCTGGATACCTAATTGACATTTCAAACCAACAAGTCCAAAACTGTCCAAATCTTTCTTAGTTGCTCGCACCACAAACCACATCAAGGAGTTATCCTTGACTCGCCCTTTCTCTTTCACTATACCTCCAATTTTCAGAAAATCCTTCAAAATTTAGCCAGAATTAACGCCACTTCTTATATCCACTGCTACTACTCTGGCCCAAGACTGCTATATTTCTAAAACACAGCAGCCAGGATAATTTTTTTTTTTACTATTATATTTTTTATTTTGCCTATATACTGAAATTTACTTTATTATATAGAAAATATAATTTTTAAGGCTTTATTAGACATTCTAAGATATTTTAGTCTTAGGTTTTATCATCCAGATTCTTTCCAAAGAAATATATTCTACTTCGTAATGAAAGTTAATGAGAAAATGATATTTGGCATGTAGGATTCACTTATAGGACAGTTTTCAGTGACATGTTAAAATTATTCTATAAAATGATGAAGAGTTAAATAATGACATCAGGGTTACAGTTTTTAATGTTTTTATTCAAACTATTTTTCTTAAAAAATTTTCAAACACACAAAAAATTACACAGAGATGACCCATATACACACTTAACACCTAGAATCTACACTGCATATTTTGCTATATTTGCTTTGTCACACATCTATCTATTGCTCTTTCCATCCATCAATTCATCCAAAACTGGATGCATGTCACAGAATGATCTTGTAGGATGAAGGCCAAATTATGTCATTTTCTCTGCAAAAGCTTTCCATTTCATTTAAGAGCAAACGCCAGTCTTTAAAATGGTCTCACAGGCCATAAATCATTTGGCCTTCTTACTTCTCTGACCTCTTCTATTGTTTTCTTCCTGGATATTCTCTGAACATACTAGACACACTCCAACCTTAGGCCTTAGCTATTCCCTCTTCACAGACTGTACTTCCTGACATCTATTTGTTAACTCTTTCACGTCCTTTGTGGTTTTGCTCCAATTTTATCTTTCAAATGAGGCCTACCTCAACCACTCTGACACTACAGTCAGGTGTTGTATAATGATGTTTGGTTGATGGTAGACCACATGTATAAAGGTGGTCCCATAGATTGTAACGGTGCTGAAAAGTCCTATTGTATTGCCTACGGGTGTCTTGGTGACTAACCCTGTGTAGGCTTAGGCTAATGTATATGTTTGTGTCTTATTTTAAAAAGTGAAAAAGCAACTCAGACCTCAACTCTACAAAAAATTTAGCCAGGTGTGGTGGCTTGCGCCTGTAGTCCCAGCAGTTACTGAGGACATTGACGTGGAAGGATTACCTGACCCTGGGAGGTCAAGGTTGCAGTGAGCCATGACTGCACCACTGCAATCCAGCCTAGGCAACAGAGTGAGAAAAATAAATAAATAAAAAGAAAAAAAATATTTTTATATAGCTGTACAATGTCCCTGTGTTTTAAGCTAAGTGTTAATACAAAAGAGTAAAATATTTAACAAAATTAAAAAGTTTAGAAAGTAAAAAAGTTACAGTAAGCTAGGGTTAATTTATATTAAAGAAACATTAAAAAAGAAACTTGGGGGGGGAGGAGGAAAAAAATAAATTTAGTGTAGCTTAACAGCACAGAGTTTATAAAGTCTATAGTAATGCACAGTAATGTTTTAGGCTTTCAGATTCACTCACCACTCACTGACACACCCAGAGCAATTTCCAGTTAAGTGCCCTATACAGGTGTACCATTTTTATCTTTTATATCATATTTTTACTGTACCTTTTCTATGTTCAGATACGTTTAGATATATAAATACTTATTGTGTTAAAACTGCCTACAGTATTCAGTACGGTAACAGGTTGTACACTTGTACAGGTTTGTAGCCTAGGAGCAATAGGTTATACCACACAGCTTAGGTGTGTAATAGGCTAGACCATCTAGGTTTGTGTAACAACCTGTACTCCCTGTCTACTTGCTATCCCCTTGCACAGCTTTACTTTTTCTTCTTCCCTTAGTAGTTATTATCCTATAATTTCCTTATGTTTATTCTGTCTGTATTGCCAAGCCTGCACCATGAAGGCAAGGGTTTTTGTCTTTGTTCACAAATCTATCCCAAACTCTTCGAATAGTGTCTGCACATAGTAGGTCCCTATAAATATTTGATGAATATTAATGTATATTGAGTACCTGTTAGGTACTAGGTACTCTACTAAGTATTTTAAATATATAATCTCATCTAATTTTCACAGTTACTCTACAAGGTATGTAGTGCTACCCTAAATTTAGATAAAGAAACTGACATTAACAGAAGACAACCTGCCTATGGTTACATAGTAGTGAAGCTTTTAGATCTGATCATGTCTAACATTGTTTCAATGGTTCTATGCAATTTTGGATTTATCTTCTTTTCTTATTCTTTAAAGTAACATTTTAAAAAACTCTAATAAAGTAGGCCAGGTGGGTGGCTCATGCCTGTAACCCCAGCACTTTGGCAAGCCCAGGAGGGTGGACTGCTTGAGCCCAGGAGCTCGAGACCAGCCTGGGCAACACGGAGAAATCCCATCTCTATAAAAAATTCAAGAAATAGGTCAGGTGCGGTGGCTCACGCCTGTAATCCCAGCACTTTGGGAGGCTGAGGCAAGTGGATCACTTGAAGTAAGGAGTTTGAGACCAGCCTGGCCAACATGGTGAAACCGTCTCTCTACTAAAAATACAAAAACTAGCTTGATGTGGTGGCGGGTACCTATAGTCCCAGTTACTTGGAGGCTGAGGCAGGAGAACCACTTTAACACAGGAGGCAGAGGTTGCAGTGAGCTGAGATCGTGCCACTGCACTCCAGCCTGGGTGACAGAGCAAGACTTTGTCTTAAAAAAAAAAATTTTTTTTTAAGAAATAGATGAGCATTGTGGCTGGTGCCTGTAGTTCCAGCTACTCAGCAGGCTGAGGTGGGAGGATCACTTGAGCCCGGGAGGCAGGGGTTGCAGGGAGCCCTGATCTTGCCACTGCACTCCAGCCTGGGTAACAGAGTGAGACCCTGTCTCAAAAAAAAACAAAAACCCCCACAACTATCACAAAATATACTAAATGTTCATTGCGTTCTTTATAGAATAATTTCAACTAATAAATGCAGAAACAATTATAGAATTAGGAAAAAAATCACGGTTTTGCAATCTCTGGAGCTAGGCACCATCAATGGCTGGTAAAATCACTTGAAAAGGATGAGTGTGAGACTGACATCACTTCAATCCACCACTCAATCTTAGCATAATTTAATGTGGAACAAGAATATTATGTTTGTGATATGCACAACACTGTCTAGAAGTATTCATGCCCCAAAAAACTTAATTTGAATGTAATCAATCATCTAGCTCTAATGACCAGTTAACTAGAAATATGTGGAATTAAAAAACAAGACATTAAGAAGAAGCAATCTGCTAAACACACAATGTGGACCACTCTTCAGGAAAAAATTATCTAACAAATCAATGACCATCCCCCTCTCACTGCCACAAAAAAAATGTGTGTTATGGGGTGAAGGGCAGGCAGAAATGTTTGGGATAAGAGACTCAAGAGACATAATAACCATACATACATGTGAACTTTGTTAGATCCTTATTCAAAAAGTGACTCTTGAGGCAGAGAACAGATATTAAGGAATTAGCTAATTTTATTGGGTGTGATAATGGCATAATGGGTTTTCAAGATACTTATCTGTTAGAAATTCATATTTAAGTATTTATAGGTGGGATAATGTGATGTTTGGTTATCTACTTTAAAATACTCCAGCCCTCCTTTCCCTTCCCCTCAATAAAAAGGAATAGAGGAAATGAGATTGGCAAAATGATTAAATATTGTTAAAGCTGAGCATGAGGTACATAAGTTATATACTTACAT